GAGTTGCTAGGATGGGTTGTTTGTGGGCACTTACTACAGTCACCAGGGCGGTCGGTAATCAGTGCAGGGCACGAAATGGAAAAAAACAAGAAGGGGAGAAGAAGAGGAAAAAAAAAAAAAGAAAAGAATGAATAAATGAAAATTAGAAAGAAAAAAGAACAGCAAAGCTCTCAGGGATCCCACTGGTGCAGCTATGAGGTCTGGGGAAGTTGTTCCCAGGTGTTGAAGTACAGCCTCGCTAGAATGCGTAGACGTATTCAGCGCCAGGTATTCAGGGGACAGGAAAAGAAGGAAGGTATAGAGAGACAAGAAACTGAGTAATGAATAAAGAGAAAAAGGGAAAAAGAGGGAAAGAAAACAAAACAAAAAACAAACAAGAAAAGCCCCCAAAAAAACAGAAGAAAAAAAAAAGAACCACAAAAATAGGAATGCTCTCAGGGATCTCTGTGTGTGTCTGCACAAGCTGAGGGGTAGGTCCCAAGCCGCGTAGCCCTGCCTGGCCAGAACGGGCTCCCAACTCAAGAAAAGGAAAAGAAAACAAACAATTCAAAACAAGCAAACAAAAAAAAGCCCCGGGATCCCACCAGCATGGCAGCACAGACCAGGAAGCAGTTCCACGCTTGAATGGAGCTCTGCAGCCTCTTAGGAAGAAGCAAAGATGGCACCCGGAGTCAGGTATTTGAGCAGAAGGAGGGGGTGGTTGTGAGAGGTAAGGAAGAAATCAAAAGAAGTGCAAAAAAGCAACACCAGCAGCCAACAAATGGCACTCAGGGAGTCAGCCAGTGGGGGCGGGTGGAATCCAAGCAGCCGGTGCTTCCCGGCCAAGAGACTGTGGCCGCCAGAAGCACAGGAGGCCGAGTGGGGGTGAAGGGTGGGGGTGGGAAAGCGTATATCGCTGTTTACTGGTTGTTCTGTCTCCTGCTGGAAGCCCCGTGAAACTACTTTCTCGTACCCCTTGTTCGATGGTCTCAGATAGGAGTCCAAGATGGTAGATCTGCACTGTGTTAGCTGATAGGGGACCTCTGCATGAATCTCTCCACCTTCTCCATTCTCTGTCAGTTTCTCACTCCATTTGGTGTTTGGCTGAGTTATCTCTTTATTTGATGTTTTAGGGTTTCAAGATTGTTGTTTTCTCTGTTTGGCTTAGTTTTTCGGATCTTTGCTGTGGAGGGAGGGCATGGTGCTTCTGCCTAAAGCGCCATGTTGCCGGAAGTCCTACACATCTATTTTTGCTCTCCAAATAAGTAGGTGCTTTCTGAGTGCTTTTTAGCAACCCAGGCATTTTTCTGTGGTACAATTTAAAAAATAGGCCAGCCAAATTCTCTTCTTTGTCTCGCGGATAATGATTGCCCAGTCAGGTGCTCTATTGTGGATGGCACATGTGGGGAGCCCTGGCAGTCCAGTGGTTAAGAGCTCAGCTGCTAATCAAAAAGGTGTGCAGTTCGAATCTACCAGCCGCTCCTCGGAAACCCTATGGAGCAGTTCTACCCTGTCCTATAGGGTGGCTATGAGTCGGAATTGACCCAACACCAACGGGTTTTGTTTTTTAAAATGAGAATGCTAAATTGTTCAGCAGTTGGAGCTAACCAATTGATAGTAGAAAGCACAAGCTACTGGAACTTTTAAAATGAAGAGTACCAGGGACAGACCTCATACTTTCAGTCAGCCACTCCTGGAGCGCCACAGGCACGAATAAACCACCCTCTTGTTTACGCCCTGGCTCCAGGGCGTTAGCTAAAATCTTCCTGCCTTGTGCAACGTGAGCATCCCCGCGCCACGCTGCCCCTGCCCTGCCCACGCCGCACGCGGGCCCAGTAAACGCCGAGGAGCGCGCCCGGCAGGGGCCAGCAGGGGGCGCCGTGGCTGTTGTGAACGCTGCAAATGCCTCCCGGACTGGCTCTGAAGACCCGAAAATTCGCCAGAGATACTTTTTTTGGCCATTCTGCAGTTGCATGCGCTCCGGGTTTTGCCTACTCCAGTTCTTAGGTAGGGGCCCAGTTGGTGACCGAGAAGCTTGGCTGCGTGCCGCGCTGGGGAAGGGCTGAGGTCCGGGAGCACGGCGCGGTCGGTTTCGTCCAGGCTGGAGTCTCCCAGCAGCGCTCTCCCCCGCGGCCGCCCTGCCTCTCCGTGCCGCGACGAGTGGGTGGCAAGAAGGGAGTGGGTGGCCGAGAAGACAAGCGGCCGACAGGAGCGGCGCGGTTCCATTGGCGAGGCTGCGCTGGAAACGGCGGCCGCGGCGATCCGAAGAGAAACGAGGACTGGGAGCAGGAGGAACTAGGGCCCTATGAAGAGGAGCTGCCACTGAGGAGGGAGGCGGATTCTTCCGGCTGCAGCTGCCGCGTTTCCCGGACGCAGCCCGGTGAACCTGCCTGCCTGTAAGGTGCTCGCCAGGTAGCTCTGCTCCCCGAGGGTCCCCGCCCTCGCTCCGCCCCGCGCTCGGGACGGAAGGAGCGGGCCAGCGCTGCAGGCGGCTGGGCGCACGGAGCCCGAGTGCGGCGCCCGAGAGCCGCACCGCCGCGCAGGTCGGCAAACCAAGAAAAGGAAGCGCGGTCCATTCGCACCCTGCTCGGCGTCCCCACCCCTTGCACTCTCAACCTTGCAGCCAGCGAACATCGCGGCCACGGAGGCGCCGAGGAGGAGCGAGCCGCCGCCGGGTAGCGGCGTGCCTCCGGGGGAGAGAGCGCCCGAGAGGAAGCGGCGGCGCGGCGGGGAAGGCGCGGCTCGCGATGGCAGTTGCTTAGCCGGACGGGCGCGGAGCAGCCCCGAACTGTGGCTGGCCAGACGCGGTGGCGGGGCAGGGGACGCCGCCGCTGCCGCAGCCTTGCCGGGAGCTATGGGCACGGAGGCGGGCGAGGGCATCACTTTCTCCGTGCCACGTTTCGGCTCTTTGGGCTTATGCACCTTCGCCGAGGGCGGCAGCTGCCGGAGGGGAGGAGCGGCGGCGACGGTGGAGGGCGAGGAGAACCAGCAGCCACCGCCGCCACCCGGTAGTTTCTGGAACGTGGAGAGCGCCGCCGGCCCTGGCACCGGCTGTCCCGCTGCCAGCTCCGGGGGCAGCGCCACTCGGAGCCGGGGCAACTCTGGTGGCGGAGGCGGCCGACAGACCACTGTGGCATATGTGATTAACGAAGCGAGCCAGGGGCAGCTGGTGGTGGCCGAGAGTGAGGCCCTGCAGAGCCTGCGGGAGGCGTGCGAGGCTGTGGGCGCCGCGCTGGAGACCCTGCATTTTGGTAAACTGGACTTTGGGGAAACCACGGTGCTGGACCGCTTTTACAATGCAGGTGCGTGTGTAACCCCTTCCCATCGTTTGCGACGGGTGGCCTCGTGTTCCCTTGTCGCCCTTTGGATTTTTTTTACCCCTTGGGCAGGAAGCACGCTTGCTACTTATTCACTTCTTGCCCCACCTTAGGGGCCGCGAGGGTACTCGCGGCCGCTGGAAGAGAGTATATGTGTGCTTGTGCAAGAGTCTCTGTGTGTGTTTGTGCGAGAGATCGACTGACCCAGCCAGCGCCCCGCGCTGGAGCCCTGCCGTCCGTGTCGTCCTGGAGAACTTCAGTTCTTCAGAAGTACTGGATATTTGCCTCAATCAGTCGTTCTCCATTCAATGTCTCTGTTTCGCTTCTGTTAGATTTGGCCCATGTTTTCCTTCTACATATACCTGTGAGCACTTTAGATGACGCTGTCCTTCTGCCTACTCGTTTTCTCTGTACTTTTGGGAGTACAGAAACGATGACTTATGCCACATGGCCGGCTGCACGCAGAGTGTATTTATACAAATTTGCATGTCGTGTCATGACCTTCCCAACTCATTTTACCTTCAACAGGTTTTAGTGGTTTGAATGTCCCATCTCTTACCAATTTCAACTTTCAGGTAATTACTTCCGAAAGTGATAATATTGTAACTTATGCTAAACTTATGTGATATCTTTGTTAGGATTATCGGTGGAAGAACCAGGGTCTGTTTTTTATTGCCCTATATACGTTTCTTAGGCTGGAAAATTTAAATTTATAATGTAACATTGTTCCAAATGCTGATATGCTATCTTGATAACTAAGATTAGATTGGCCATTAAAGTGATTGTTATCATATTCCATGAAAAAATGTATATTTTCATCCTGTTCCAGATTTCAAAAAATGTTATGCAGTTCTGGTGACTGAAGCAATTAATTTGTCTTAGCAATTGGCTTGATGCCAGTGGGTTTTTTTTTTTTTTTTTTTTTTTTGGTTAGCAAATGTTAGGAATAATATAACATGTTATTGAAATTAAACTTTAGCAGCCTTCACAATCAATGTTGAGAATATATGCATATTTATTTTTATACTTGTAGGTGGAAAACTTGATTTAATTGTGATTTCAAAACAGTAAGGTTCTTACCTTTTTGCTCACATAAAAGGTTTTATTTTCCAATCTCGTTTTCAGTTCTAATTCTATTCAGTCTCTTCAAAACACCTGAAGTAGGCTTATGCCAGCTCTGGAATTCAGCCAAAGCTGAATATTTTAAGAACAAGAAGAACTTCATGTAAGGAAGCCAGACTAAATAAACTAGGACTTTTTGGATCTGGTATTTTTTTACCGTCTTGGTCTTCCCAACTGAACATGAGTGTAATATATTATAGCTTGGTTCTTTGGGTAGCTTGCTATAAAAGTTACATAAACATAACTTTTCTAAAAATTATAGCATTCTTATTTTTGAATTATAACTTGGAAGATATGAAGGAAGCGTCAAAGAACTGAAAGATGTGGGAGAAAAGCACCCAGCTATGTACTTGAATCTATTTTTATTGCACTGATAGCTTGGTTTTTTTTTTTTTTTTTGAATAGGCCTCTTAAACCCAAAGCTAATTTGAAAGAAAGTTTCCTAACAAGGCTTACTTACTGTTTATTCTCCAAATGCTGCCCCTGGGAAAGGGAGAGAGGAAGATTAGTAGGAGAACTGACATTTGAACTATATCGTATTTAATCTTCCAAATAAGCCTGTGAAGGTAGTACTTGTTATGCTCCTTAGGTGAGAAAACTGAGGGATATATAACCAGCTTTAGGTCACATAAGAGCCTTGGTGGTGCAATGCTTAAGCACTCAGCTGCTAACCAAAGTGTCAGAGGTTCAAACCCACCAGCCAGTTGATGGGAGAAAGATGTGGCAGTCTGTTTCCATAAAGATGACAGCCTTGAAAACCCTATGGGGCAGTTCTACTCTGTCCCATAGGATTGCTGTGAGTTGGAATCAACTCTATGGCAATGGGGTTTAGGTTACACAGGTAGTAAGTGGTCAGAGCAGGATTCCGCTGCAGGTATAAGTCCCGAAAAGATCATGGTTGGGTCATACTTCCTCCATTCAGATGGGCTCAACTTATTCTCAGAATCAAGGGAAACTACCCATGTAGGAATCATGTGATGGAGAGCTGGCAGGACCTTCAGAGCCATTGAGGTGCAGTGTGGAATAAGGGGGAGGGCACTCTCTGGGAAGACTCATATTCCCAGACCTCCTCTGTCCCGCAGCGTTGTTTAACCTGGGCAGGCTCCATTTCAACCTCTGCCCACCTGGGTGACGTGAACTCTGCTCCCTTCTGTTCAGCATGAAGATGTGACAGTATAATGTTATCGGTTTCATCCAAACCCTTTGTTTTTCTAAACTGAGGGCTGCAGAGTTTGATAGGACTAAAACTTATCTTCTGTCTTCTAAGAGAAGCCTTGTTCCTCTCCACTAGGGGTGGGCAAACTTTATCTGTCAAGACCCAGGGAGTAAATATTTTAGGTTTTGCAGTCCATAAGGTGTCCCTCCCAACTACTCACCTCTGCCATAAATAGTAACTAAACAAATGATTGAGGCTATGTTCCAATAAAATTTTATTTCTGGACATTGAAATTTGAATTTCACATAATTCTCGTGTGACAAAATATGACTCTTTTGATTTTTTTCCCCCAACCATTTAAAAATGTAAAAGCCATTCTTAGTTTGCAGGCCGTGCAAAAATAGGTGGCCTGCTAGATTTGGCCCGTGGGCCATGTTGACCTTTTTTCTACAACCACTACCTCCCACTTGAAAGATGAATCATTGTAATGTAGTAGGAGATCACGTCTCTTCCAGTTAGATCTGAATTTTAGTTCTGGTTCTGCTATTAACCACCCAATCTTGAGCAAGCCCCTTCATCTACTCAAATGGAGATTCTTTGCCTATAAAATTGACTGGGATGGAGGTAGATGGGAAATTGAACTAAATTTATAAGATTCCCTCATTTAGTCCTGTGAATTTACAAAGTCAAGGCAGCATGGTGCGCTGGGACAGAGTGTCAGAATAGGAGTTTCAAAGTCTGAATTTTGGCCCTGGTCCTTCTGTAATTTGGAGCAAGTCATTGAAAATGTTAGAAAATAGTGGGACGTTGGGATGATTAATTGGTATCTGAGATTCCCTCTAGCTCTCAAATTCTGTACTTTAAAATCACAACATTATTAATATAAATGAATCATTTCACTCCATAGGTATTGATGAACTGCTTGAATATGTCATGTTCTCTGCCCTCGAAGAGCTCAAAGTTGGTGGGGAGGGTAGACTCAATGCAGGATATAGTATCGTCATTGTGAGGGTCCATACAGAGTGGGTTGGGCTCCTGGTCCATCTAGAGTAATATTGAGAGTGTGGCGAGTTTGAGGGTGGCACCCTAAAGAAAGTGACATCTGAACTGAGCTAGAAGGGCAAGCAAGCATGACTTGACCAGGGCCTCACATTTAGAAGGGAAGCAATGGTGTTGAAATAGCTCAACTTAATGTAATGAATAAGAACTTAAGGCTTGGTTACATTTTTATAAACTTACCCTATCTTTAGGGCCCTGGTGGCGCAGTGGTTAAGAGCTTGGGTGCTAATCAAAAGGTCAGCAGTTCGAATCCACCAGCAGCTCCTTGGAAACCCTATGGAGCAGTTCTACTCTGTCCTGTAGGGTAGCTATGAGGTGTAATCGACTTCATGGCGTTGAGTTTATGGGCTACCCTATCTTTGTATAAGCGGAAAAAAACAAACCCACTGCTGTCAGTTCCGACGCAGGGACCCTATAGGACAGTGTAGAACTGCCCCCATAGGATTTCCAAGGCTGTAATCTTTACATGGAGCGACTAGTGGGTTCGAACCACTGACCTTTTGGTTAGCAGCCGAGTGCTTACCATTGCGCCACCAAGTCTCCTCTTATCTTTGTATACTGGTGTATTTTTAAAGACTAGATGGCATTTAAAGATTTTTATTGATTTTCCCTATTTGATTATTGTTTAACGATATTCCTAGTTTGTTGTTTGACTACACTTGTCATTCTCTATTTCATCCTCATTCTGAGGAGATACTTCAGCTTTATCAATGCTTTTATGCAAATTAATATTATTTACATATACAAGAAACTATTACTCAGGGATGGCAAATGCCATGGCAACAACATTCCTTCCCAGCCCCTGGCTAAGAGAGGTCAGTGATACAGGCTGCTTTGAATAGGTGGAAAGACCCCAGCTGGCAGGATCTTAAAATTTTTTTTTTTAATGGACATCACTCTTGTGAGGTATAGGTACAATAGCCTGTATTATTCTCCCAATTTGCTTATAAGAAAACTGAAGGGTGATAGGTTATATTCATTCATTCATTAAGGTTAAACGATTTAAGGTTGGTCCTTGGAACCTGGAGCACACTTTTGCTTGGAAACAGTATTATAGATGGTAGGTAGATTCTGGGACTAGTCTATAAAAAGCCTTGTTAACTCAGTGTACTCCAAGTATGGAATGCATTCACCATTTTAAACATTGTTGCTATGGAAGATTAAGCTCCTTGAACTCAACTTCGTGAACACTTTTCCTGTGGCAGAATCAGTAACGTTTGCTTTGATTTAGCTATTGGAAGCTTCTTGGCAAGATGTAGGAGCATCAACTTCAATTAGTGGTGGTAAGGTAGTGGACAGAGAAAGCACTGGAAAGCTGAGGCTGCAAAGCAAAGAGGGGTGCTCAGTGAATGTGAAGGTGGATGTGATGCCAGCAGGTTCCATTAACGATCTCACCCCTTTCAGCCGCTTCCCTTTCCCCACCTAACCTATTTATGGCCCTGGGCCTTCCTGCGGAGGTAAGACCCAGGGCCATTGCTCTGCTGAAGGCCACCTCGCTCCTTTTCAGTGGGCACACTCCTTTCCCTGTCACCAGTCATTACATCTCCGCTATATCCTCTTTCTGGCTCTCTGCAAACTGTAATCCCTTACTCAGCCTTTAACCCTCTAGCAACAGTGGGCGACAGGAAGAAAACATGGGCTGATTGAA